CCATGTACACAATGTGGCCTGCTTTCTACTCTGCTTATACTGTTGTGCCCATCTGAGTATTTGTGTCTATTGTCTTCGTACAAAGAACACCACAAAACCATCTCTTCCACAGAGGGGGTCCTCCAATTATTACCCGCAACACCGTTCACCCCATCCAGTCAAGTTGATTGAGCCCTGGGTACGTACAGGGAGGCTACACTTCTATGGGTTGGTCATGAGCACTATACATTCGTCGCGAATCTATCCCTTTTTTGTTACCCACAGATACATGTACATGTACGAAGTAGGTGGATTGTTAGGTCTCTACAAAAAATATTAGGAAAAATAAATATACACACACAGAAAGACTACAATACCCATTCGAGATATACCCACTTTCGAACGGGATGTAGTGGAGTATTTTCAGTGAGTGGAGTATTTCCAACCAAACAAGGTGAACCATCTCATGTCGGTCGCCCCGTCAGGGAATGGATAAATGGCCAAATCGCGATGTTCGACCACGTTGTTCTTGTTTTCATTTTAGCACGGCTTGAACAACCCCTCGGTTTGTTCAGGTGGATTCCCTCTCCGCCTATCTCCAGCAATCCTATTACCCCTCCCCATCGACTCGGACTCCGACTCCTCCCCGTTCGGTGTCTTTCGTCTCTCTCATCGATGTGGTCAACCTCGCTGCTTTTAGAGACTGTGAATATCGCTCTCCCGTTTGTGGTTTGCGAAAGCGCTACAGGACCTTGTGCAGCAAGTACTATTACCTTCGCCGGAGAAGATGGCCTACCCTGGAACTTTGCATGCCCTTGTGGCCAGGGATCGACATATGAGGTGTAACAGTATTAGTGACCTTCTTGTCACCACTGGGAATGGCGTTGGCAGCGCTCTGGATGAAAAGCTAAATTCCGATCAGAGGCGATCCCGAGCGCAGAGCAAACAACCAGACCGCTACGAGAGGGAGTACACAGTCCCAGATGTATATCGGGCTATCCCAGTAGGTCTAACGGCCGGACAACGTAGGCCACCTCTTTTCCATTCAATTCCATCAACTCTCGGAACCAAGGCATGGCGGATGTCACCGTCTGATTGTGGCCGTATGATGGACCACGGCATTTTCGGCGTACCGGATAGCCGTATGAACGCGGATCGAAGAAAAATTATGGCGGTGAGTACTAGTCTTGACAGATTATCAATGGACCGAAAGGATGGGGTTGACGGAACACTGCTGTCCCGAGTTTCGCGGATCTTGCAAGTTGTAGTGGGAGCATGTCCTAGCGAGGTCACGATCTGTTTCTTGAGGTTCCAACACTTGTACCCTTAGAGATCAATTTCAACTACGTTGTGCTTGCTCTACCGTCCTAACATCTGGCAACGCCTTTTGCACCACATCACGAAACGAGATAGGCCCCAACGTCCTAATCGATGAAGTATGGGGGAGCGTGATGATCGAAAGGTATTTTCTATCCATCAGCCAGGAGCCATTGCTGGTTGTCCACCGTACGTGTACAGCGTGGTGGGCAGCATGTCCTACTGTTTGTGTACAGTTCTATTGACATGAATATTTCGTATTTCTTCAACAAAAGCTGCAACACAAATCGGGATCCTTCCGTGAGTGAGTCCTTCTGCACCTCAACTCGCTGAAAAATGCTGCAGATGCGTGACGTGGGGTGCATGAACGGGAGAGGAGAATGCTACACAAGAAACAAGGCACGAGCAAGAGAAAACGAGCTACGCATGGCCAAAACGTGAGATGGGTGTCAGAAGCGTTCTCTATCAAAAGAGCCGCACGCCGCGTCTCCTTGTTTAGCTAGTGATTGAGAACCAGTAGACTAATCAGGCATGAGTGGTAATCTCACGAAAGGGCTTCTTTGCGGTTGATGTTGGCGTTCACAACCGTATGCAGTATCGAAAAAATATGAGTGTATGGTAGTCTACGATCTCTTCGCGATATTCGCATAACATCCTATCTAGCCGTTGGAGTTCAAATCCCCCCCCCACCATAGAAACAGAGGGTCTAGAGGGGTTCAAGGAGAAGCTGTCTGTTGCTTGTGCCCAGAGAGAAGAACAGAATCTAAGGAAAGAAACCAAGGATATGAAGAGTTTAAAGTGTACGGAATGTTGAAAGAAGGAATAGGGTTCGAGGAGTACCTGCATGGACCAATGGATGCAGGGACAAAGCTGAAGGTCAGATTCAGGACCGGGGACATTGGCCTTAGAGAACGTAGACGGAGATTTCGGAAGGTAGACGATGAAGACGACAAGTTCAAATGTGATTGCGGCTTCGAGTGCGAAGACCGGGTTCATGTAGTTGCGGAGTAGTCGTTGTACAAGAAGGAAAGGGAAATGTACATGACTGAGCTGGGAAAAATAGAAGGAAGGTACAGGGAGATGCTTGAGACATGGAATAGCCTGGAAAAGACGGTAGCCGTACTGGGGAATAGGAAGTGGGTTGAAAAGACGGGAAGTGATATCGATGGGATAGACAGACTAGGGAAGACATTCTTGAGTTAACTTAGGCAAAGTAGGAAGGAAAGATTGGCCATCGGTGATCGGTCCTGTGGGAACAATGCTCTAACCGCTAAGGTATGCAAAACATAAGAGTACGCCCCCCCCCCCCATAGCACCGGAACCCCCCCCCCAGACTTTCACCATACACTGGTGCTGGGTAGTACTATCCTGAGCTGCGTAACTCTGTCAGCACCGTGGTAAACCTTTCCATCGAACAAAGCCCCAAACAACAGCGGGACTGGCCTCATTTGATTGTTCGTCGCGCAGGTTGTGCGGGAAAGCGTTTTCCTTGCGCAAGAGTCATCTGAGAAATAGTGCGCACCAGCTTATAGAACACACTGCGCGAGTTCATGGCTCAGAAGCAGGCAACAACAATTCCCGAGCTACGACGTCGCCGAAAGGGGTTGAGTGGCTGAAACCCTTTGCGACGGGACAGGCGGAACATCTGGGCATACCTGTGATGCCGCGCAACCCCTTTAGAGAAGAAATGGCCCCAAGGTGAGCAGATACGATCACAGCCTACCTACTCGTTTCCGTCCCTATCGGTTCACTCACATCGCTGACACGGAGCCCTCTTATGCCTCTACGCAACGTTACGTTTGAGCAGAGGTCGCAAGAAGGAGGCGCGGTGTTCCAAGGCAACTTCTTCCTCGGGAGTTGTGTCTGACAGCAGAGGGATCTCGGCGAGAAAGAAGGTTGGGGATTTGGTCGGAGCAAGGGTCGTGGCGAAGAAGAGCTGTCGGTTAAGGTATGCCACTCGATGGCATGAGATCGCGATGCTGCATCGCCTGCTAGAGTCAGGATGCAACAGGAGACCAGTCAGGGGTACCTTTGACCTGATCGTTCGAGCGTTGAGAGGTGGGCCTCGGTTCAGATCACCTGTCAGAGCGTTCGTTCACAGCAGCCGCTTGAAACACACTCGACATTCTGCTAGCATGTACGGCTCTGATTTCTCTTCATTTCTGTTTTATCGCGTCTAAACCCAACAGCAACAAGTGAACAACGCCCACTAACTATAGCAGTTCTCCGCTGGCGGTAATCTGCTGTGTGCCTCGTCTTTTGCGTTGTCTGAACCAGAAACAGCCTGCGAAAACCCGTCGCCTGGGTGTTTGTCTCGGCGTCAATTTGTGTCTACGTTATCCAGCACGTTGGACCCGTGCGATACTCCTACGCTTCATCGCATCTATAGCAGCTTTGATCCGGATGGGACTGACAAGATACGATCTGTGGACTTTTTGGCCTGCGTGCTGGTGACACACAAACCAGAGACCGAAGCATTCCTGGAAGGGCTTCAGCAAACATTTATCGGAAATATGGGGTGAGGCAAAGGGGTCGTTTTAAATATCATACGCCAAAGCGCTCCACCCTCTCGTGTGTGTGACAACGCCAATTTGTCCGAATTTGCAACAGTCCTTGTTTATGTTTGCAGCGTACAGAGTCACGTATGACACACACATATTTTAAGTGCCGGAATGCCCGACCAGACGAGCCGACCGAATCGCATGTGCCATCAGGCAGGTGGTTGAAGGTCTTGGGCGTGCTGTGGACATGCAGGTCGCGTGTACTCTCAGGTCGATGTGGTGCACTGCCTTGATATATTTTCCGTTCACTGCCTAGGATCACCTTACATGTACCATTGTCACCATGGGTTTTTGTTCGTTTACTTGTTCACGTACTGCGATACAAACTAAGAGGTGTCACGGTGACGGCTTTTTTATGTCGCGAATGCACACTCTCCTTTCGAGACAGGGCTATCAGCAGTGAGCTGCACGCAGAGCTAACGAAGGGAAATAGACAGGTCTGCTGGCGATTTCTCCGACGACTGTTCAGGCTATTCCAAGCCAGATCATCAATGAATATCCCAAGGATCGAGCGCCTGTTTCAACTTTGTGCGACGAGCGACGAAGAGTTCTTGCAGGTTTGGTAACAAACCCATGGGTGCTCGGTACAAACAGATGTGGAGGTGATTGGGGGTTATGGGGAGGGTATGGAGAACTCTGTTCTTTTGCATCGCTTGAGCTTGTGTGTTCAAGAAGTTCGCGAGTACGTCGGATGTATGTGGGGAACGCATCATTAGCTTGTACTTGTATCGTGGTAACATACTTATGACGGGTTCCGTCCGACTATTTCTTACCTTACAGATGTCGGAGACTTTCAAGGAGTTTTTGCAGAATTTCATTCCAGCAGCTTGCGAGCGTGAGGTGAGAAATTTGCTGCTTGGTGATTTACCACGAACACGCGCTACCGTTTTTGTTGCTAAATGTTGTTAAGAGCACATACTACTATTCAGCATCTGTCCGTTTCCACGAGGGACCTTCATGCCGATTGCATCACATAGCAACGACGCAATATTTACGCGGAACGCGACTTGAAATCACCTACCCAGGTAATTGGTGAACACGAGTTCGACCGCATGTTCTGTACGGCGTTCGAGCTCTTGGATTTGTTCAACACAAATATGACCACGGTTCAGGTGTGGCCACGCAAAGCAAAGCAAGAATGTGGTGAGGGAGTCATATTGGGTCGTTCACTTTTACCGAGCTTCAAAACGTAACCTACGCAAACATGGTATTCAGCATCAGCTTCGACGTGTCTTGGACAAAAATGGGGTGTGTAGTTCGTTCTCACTTTCCAGCCTGACACAAGTCACAAGGTAGGCTTGCTGGACTTTTGTACCAACGCACGTAAATATCGCCGCTGGTCACACAGAAGTTCAACTTTGAATTATTGCCCTGTTGTTCCTCTCTCGTTCACTGCAGGGCATAGTCAAGCGTACCATGGTATCGGACTGAACCGAAAATCCCGGCGAAATGGACGGAAAGGGGAGCATGGCGCATGACGCGGTTTGCTTCGTGGCGGAACGAAAGGATCAAAAAGGATTGCATGTAAACAAAACGCTTGTCTTCACGACACCCAGCAAGGGCAGATACATCTCTATTGCTGGCTTGCAGGCGTTACCGTTCAAGACATGTTTGCCAAATAATCTTGGCGGCGTGCCCACTGTATCAACGTTCGACACGAAACAACGGTCGGGGACCATCCAGTCTACAATTGACTTCTCTTCCCGTTGTCCAATCCCCACGGAGGAAGGGTAACAAACTCTTCGCTGGCCGTAGGATGAATGGCCACACAGGAGTCGAAGTCGGCCTTGGTCGCTCCTAGCTTCATCGCCACCCCGAAACCCTGCATCATCTCATCTGCGCCCTCGCCTATGACGTGGAGGCCTATCACCTGACATTGTGTTAAAAAAGCGCAATTCCAAAAAAATTTGCACCTTCCAGACGGGACGTCTATCTGATTCTCGGGACTCACCAAGCACGCGAGCTAGTGAGTTGTTCAACAAGCGTCAAGTGATGCTGCTTCTTAACACCCGCCAGTTGTTTAGGCGGCGCCAATTATTCAAAACTAGTCTGTTCCGGATGTGTCCTTTGGGAAGATGCCTAACAACGTGTTTACCTTTTGCTCCTCTCCGAGACAAATCATTTTCATGGCAGATTTTTTCTTTTCGCTTGGGTCGATCTTCCACGGGCCGTACATCAGGTTCACGAACTGTAGCGATCGTGATCGGTACGGCAGAGAGCGAGCGCAGAACGGCCGGGTTGTTGGACTGGAAACTGGAGTGCATCAGAGGGTTCAAACTGGGGGGAAAGTCTAGCAGTGTTCCTTTGTGAACGCTCGCAAGGAATACCCCAAAGCAGTACTACCGTAGATTTGGTTGGGAAAGGTGCCGTGTCAACGACGGAGGCAGGTGGGAAAATGCCGCCTCCTAACGTGTGCGCAGCTTCGTTCTACACGTGTCGGACCCAACATATCTTATCTCTGAGAGGGAGCGAGCTCAAGAGATGCGCGTCGAGCACGGTCTCTGCCAACAAGTATCGCTGGATTGGGCCCTCCGTACCGTGCTAGTATAGATCTTGATCTTGTCCTCTCCGTGCTCCTTGATAGCTTGCTCTTCTGTCAAGCCTATCGTACCGATTGGCGGGTGCGAGAAAACCACCGTCTGCAGTCACAGACAAGGAAACGGCAACGAGAATGAAAAAAAAAAACGGTGCCATAGGAGGTGGTGCAAAGTGTGAGTGACCTTGGGTAAGTTTGCGACACGAATAGTCATTGCCAACGAAAACGGACCCTTGTCTTTGTAGAGGTAGTGGACAATTTTCGGTCGCTTTCGACTCACCGGGACGTTGTTGTAGTCCGCCTTAGCGCCGTCGACACCACCAAAGAGACGGTCAGACAGCCGTCGCCCTGCCGCGATCGCCATAGGTGTCAAGTCCACCTGAGCGACGCACACGAATAACGGGCATCAGCTCTGCCGTTTGCCCAAAATGCATACCGAGCTCCGTCTGCGCCATTTGATTGGCCAGCTGAAATGGAAAGGTACGACCGTGCAGTGCTCTCTTCAAACGACACAGGAAGACCCAACAGGGGACGCACACCTTCAATGGCGTGCTGCACGCAACGCGGGAGGAAAAAAACTCACCATCTTGTCGCATGCATCCCCCACGGCGTAAACCCCTTCCACGTTCGTGTTCTGGAATTCATCCACCTGTGATTAAAACAAATAGAGGCAACGCCTTGTTGGATCGCACGTTCGCGATCCTGTGCTGCGTCGAGAACACTGCGGTGTTTCGGCAGGCTGCTGGTGTGGGACACCACGCACGATTAAGAGCACCTGTCACGGATCATACAAAAACATGCCACACGTCACCAGGCCGCTCGGTTCTCTTGCTACCCGCCCGTTCTGTGTGGACTCCAACGGCGTTATTGCTTGCTAGTGCTGAGGGCGAGAAGAAGCTCTCACCGTGATGTGCCCTCGGTCGGTCTTCACCCCTGCGCTATCCAACCCAAGCTTGTCCAGGATTGGTTCGCGACCGGCTGCTACAAGGACCTGGTCAAAGCCTCCCAGGCTTTCTCCGTCCTCCAGAGTAAGCGTTAGCGTGCCGTCAGCCTCTTTCGTCACGCTCTGCAGCATTTCCCAGGGTCGAACAAGGCAGGGCAATCGTAACCCCGAACATGAAAGTACCAAGTATGTACAAGAGCGCAGCCTACAACGAACAACCCGCTACAAACAGCGGCCCGGGTTTAGCACACACGGACCTGACAAATGTGGCAAATTGTGTCTGGAGTGACAGCGAAACCAGGCAACAACTTCGTTTCGTTGCGCCCAAAGCTACTTCAGTATGTGCTAACAAACAAACGCCTCATCTTCGCTTCACGAACACTTGTCCTGAAAACTGATTGCAAGTGGTTGTCAGCAAACACGGGCGTGCCAGATAATTTCACGTGTGGCTAGGCTGGGCCCCAGCGAACTGAAAACGAGTTGCACAGAGTTGGGTACCATGAGTCGGACGCGGTATTCTCGGTATTTTCCATCCCCTCCCAGGGTGCGCAGTGTAGAAGACAAACCGTTGAATCTACTCACACCAGCAAACACCACGCCACACACACCGTGCGAAAGAAACCCAAAATTCTCCGCTATTTACCTTCGTCGTGGTGTGAGGTCTGACCGTCAATCCCGACTTGCCCATTTCTGACATCAGAGTGTCTACCATCAGAGAGTCAAATGAGCGGAGGGGCCTGTCACGTCGAACCAGAAGCGTGGTGTCCGTCCCCAATGACTGGAATACCCCAGCAAGCTCCACAGCGATGTACCCCGCGCCAATCACTGCTACCTTCTTCGGTTGCTCCTGCGGCAAGTGGTACACAGGCAGAGGCGCAACGAAGAGGGTACGATAAAGTAAATGCGCTACTCGAAACGCGGCACAGCAACAAAAAACCAATCCATCTTGTCATCTGTGCCTGTCCAAGCGCACTACGAAATCGAGCGAGTGTCCACAGTTGATCAGAACGGTTCACGACAAACGACAAGAATGTAGAACATGTGCCTATATTATTCAACGGCAAAAGATAGGCCAGTTGCTAGTTCAACAGCGGTTAACACCATAATACTGCTGGTGCCAAAGGCGGCAAAGAACCGAACAACGGCGGTAAGATGACCTATTCCATAATTCAAGGAACTGATATCCTACCGGGAGACATGTCGTACCTCTAGCTGAAAGAAGCCGTTGCTGTCGATGCAGTGTTCCGCTCCTTCCAAAGTAGGCATCGTGGGTCTTCCGCCGACAGCAACAAGAATGTGGTCGGCGGTGTATTCCACTCCTTCCACTTGCACCGTTTTGGGCCCAACGAAGGAGCCATACTGCACAGAAACAGGTACCAACGTGTATATCCATCAACCAACCGCCAGACGGCAAGATCGTAGGATATATAAAGACGGGAGTCGGATACGGTGGCGAATCGGCTACACAAGGTGCTCTCACAGCTCGTCCCCGTCCCGCCTCTGCATATATCTGCCTGTTGTGTCAGCAATCTTTCCGATAACATGATTTTGTCGCGGTTTGTAGCTGTAAGTGCACCAAGCACGTCTACAGCCAACACTCTAGATACGTGGACAG